AGATAATTAAGAATTTTAACTTCCAAACATGAAATAAATATATTAAAAGATAAAAATTATGAAAAAGTATAAGAGATATCTAAAAATTATATCAAAATAAGTATTTTACATATGTTAATTTTAAAATTATATATATGATGTCGGGTTGATTTGGTCTAGGGTTGATTTTTTTCCAGTTGAAATCAAACCAACCCAAATATAATTGGGTTTTTTTTCCAACACTAAACCAAATCAAACCAAATCACTAGTCGAATTTTTTTTTATTTAACTCAATTTGCGATTTGGTTTAATTTTTGATTCGATTTTGTACACCCCTACTTCGCAGTATTAACAATTCAAGTTACTTTACTGAAATATAACAATGCAAAATTTATATAATTGAAAAATTATTCAACATGATAATCAATGTCTTGTATAAATTCAATGATTCATTCTCCTTTTGGAAATTACACAAGTCTTACGGTTGTGATATTCTTGTCCACAACGTCCATAACAACTCGTGTATCTCGACTTTTAAAACTATTAGATACATATATCTTGCGGCCAAAATATGATATTGAGAGTAATATTGTCACGACTCAAAACGTGTCGTGAGTGACACCAACACTTATCCTACTATGTGAGCGAATCAACCAATCTGAACCCCAACATTTCAAACATAATAAATAGAAAACAATGCGGAAGACTTAAAACCCATTAACAAAATCAATAATCAACTTCTAAAAACTCAATACTTATTATTCCCAAAATCTGGAAGTCATCATCACAAGAACATCTATCCTCAAATTACTAAAGCTAAGAGTATCTAAGAAACTAAACATAAATAATAGCTAGTCTATGCCAGAACTTCAAGGCATCAAGACATGAAGAAGAAGATCCATTTCAAGCTAGAAGCTTTAGCTCACCCTGAAATCTGGTGTGGTGAAGACTGGCTAGAGTTGCGGTTGGGTTGAAGACGACGGTACGTTTGCTGCACTCCACAATGAACAAAAAGAAAACATACAAGCAGGGGTCAGTACAAAACACGAGTACTGAGTAGATATCATCGGCCAACTCAAAATAGAAAACAGTATATATCAGATAATATCATAAAATCAACTACAATACTCAACAGGTAGCAACAACAAGTACTATAATCATTAATAAGTACGCCAAGTACACCCATGAGGACGCAAGCCTCCATACCATACTCATTTGGAAAATAGGTTCATTAAATCTGAGTATATTACCATAATTCAAGATTCACTCTCTTTATTCCTCTCGTGTCGGAACGTGACACTCCGATCCCCTAATACTACGTGTCGGTTCGTGACACCCGATCCCCCTAATACTACGTGTCGGTTCGTGACACCCGATCCCCCTATTACTACGTGTCGGTTTGTGACACTCGATCCCCCTATTACTACGTGTCGGTTCGTGACACCCGATCCCCTATTACTACGTGTCGGTTCGTGACACCCGATCCCCTAACCTCATTCTTTTAGTTCATCAGGCCTTCTTTTATACCAAGGCATCATCATTAGCAAGAGGTTTTCAAGATTTAGGATTCAATAGCTTCATCATGCTTATTTCATCACAGTTATATCATCACATCATGCAAACACACAATTAAGCATATAGAAGGGTTTTACAATACTACCCAATACATATCATTCGCTATTAAGAGTTTACTATCAAATAGCATAAAAACCATAACCTACCTCCACCGAAGAATTGTGATCAAGCAAGCTAATCCTCAAAATCTTTGCTTTCTTCTTCGTTCCTCTCTCTCTCGATCGTTTCTCCCTCTTCTCTCTATTCTTTCTATCTTTCTTATTCAAACCCTTTTTCTTTTACCCTAATTAGCATATAATTAAGTATAAAAGATGACAAAAGTAACCCACCAATTAATTTAAGGTTATCTCCTTTAACCCTCAAGAAATTGGATTATTAATATTCAACCACTAACTTTATAATTATAAGCAGGAATAGTCCAAAACGCCCCTTAAAATATTAAACAGAAATCCGACCCAGTCAGGGTTACGCAGGCTGTGACGGTCCGTCGTGCCTGCGACGGTCCGTCCTGCTGCTTCCGTCACAAAGTTCAGATACTCGATTTATTAAAGAGTCTGTGACGGCCCGTCATGCCTGTGATGGTCCGTCCTGCCACCTCGTCACGAAGTTCAGAGAGTCGATTTCAGTACCCAAATTTGAGAATTCTAAGTGTTTTGGAACGAGACCCCCTCGACGGTCCGTCGTGCCTATGACGGTCCGTCGTGGGATCCGTCGTCTCAGCCAGTTTTTCCGAAAATAAAATCTTCTGCTCAAAACGACTAAACAGGTCGTTACAAATATTGCAAACTATTGTGAATCTTAGTGATCAATCGTTTCGAACAAATTATATATGAAAAGGTTCAAATTATCCAGAGGATTGCATATTCAAATTTGGTATTATTTAAGGTGATTTTGAGTTGATTCAAAATGAATAGTCAGAATATACTTCATGTATATTTAAGTTATATTTTAGTTTTTTGAATGTATCCTCAATGTGTAGATCATGTATAATCAATGTATACTTTCTTATGATTTTTGACAAATCATATTGTATAATTAATGTATACTTTCTGTGATTTTTGGATATTTTTATATTAACGAAGTAATGTTATATTTATTGTGAATAGTTATTTTATTGTATATATCTCCTCTCTGTCTCTCTCTCACTCAGTCCCCTCTCTCCCTTGCCTCTCCTCCCGCTTTCTTGCCCTCTCCTCTCTCATCTTCTCTCCTGCCCTCCTCTCTCTCTCTCTCTCTTTGTGTGTGTGTGTGTGTGTGTTGCCCATAAGAAAAAAATACTTTCAAACTTTTTATGTATCACTTATATTCAATCAAATATAAACGAAAGTTTTGTATTTTATTTCAATTGTATTTTGTATTTTATATTTTTTGTATCAATTGCATTTATGTTAATACGAATACAATATGCATTCATACTTTGTAACAATTGTATTTGTATCCAATCAAAGAGAGGATGAATACAATTGTATTTGATGTATTTCAAATACAACTAATACAAAGTAAATACACAATACAATACAAAAATAAAATACAAAATAGAATTTGTTGTATTTTGAATACAATTGATATAAAATAAATATATAATATAATGCAAAATAAATGCAAACTATAATCCTCTCTACTCCCTCTCTCAATCTCGCTCACCACTCTTCTCTTAATTTGTATTCATTATGATACAAATATGTTTGTGTTTGTATTGTTTTTCTTTAATATAAATACACAAACCAAAATAGCTATAAAGGTGAGGGAGAGCGAGAGCAAAATGGTTGTTATCTTTCTCTTTATTTCAACACTAAGTAAGCGTTTGACCATTCGATATCATATCACGATAGAAAATCATGAGATAGAATCAACGTTTGGATATGTGATTTCACGCTTATTCCATCTCATGATTTCATATCATGAGATTGAATACCATATTCTCCAAAAAAAAAATTATGATTTAAAAATTTCATATCATGATTTGAGATTTTTCAAATACAAAAATTTACATTTTGTTTTTAAAAATTCCACATTTATATCAAATAACCATTTATTTTATATGTAAATAAAATTAATAATCACATCATTACTTTTTAAAATTATTTGCGATAGTACAAAAAAAGTAATGAAATATTTATGGTATATGAGCATGAGAATATAGTTGTGAATGATATTGACCAACTAATGATTCAAAGTAACAAAGTTAATTCGTCTTCTCAGTCATCTGATCGAGAAATGAAAGTTTAATGTGAGAAGATTTTCCGTCTATGTGGGAGAATTATAGTAAATACTAATACACTAGTATAGTACAATTTATGTTCAATATTGTTTTATGCAATTAAAATTTTATCAATTAAAGTCAGATGAAAAAGGTAATTAATTGGTGAACAAATAAATTTATAATAATTTATTATGTGATTTTATTAATATTTTTATTTATTTGATAATATTAAATAAATAATTAGTATCATTTTAATAGTTTTTATAACTTATGAGATTCTTATGTTTATGTGAAAATACACAATACAAAAATTCTATATCGCATGTCCAAATAAAACTTCAACTTTATCTTATGATTTCATATTATGATATCATATCACGATTTCATATTATAATTTCATATCACATGTCCAGACGGCAAGTAAGAAACTCTATTTCACCCATAATACTTTGGTCCTGCCTTTTTCATGGCATATTGACTAACCTGTCATTATATAAATCAGCCTTCATTAAAATTGTCATCAAAGGAATTTTCAAGTGCAAGTTGTTCTTTCATTATTCTTGATGGTTGCTTGACTTGGTGTATATCACTATTGTCAATTATAAAATTATAGTCCAAGTAAATCTCATCCACATTTCTTTCCGAATAATTTTGCTAATTGGCAATTGCATAGACTTCAAAATATGTAGAAATCAATCTCCATTTTTACTAGATTTTCCACGCTTCCGCCAAAAGATTATTTCGTCAAATACATATCCAAATATTTTTGTTATTTTTCTAAACTCATGAAGATTCAACGTGTCCATATTAAGGGGAGGCTTTATGTGTAAGGCACTTACCTTGGACCACTGATTTGAGGGGTTCCATTTATTTGCAATAATAAAATATTACATGTTGAATTGAATATATATATACTAGATGACCGTTGTCCGTGCTAAGCACGGGCTCAACGTTTAATATTTTATACATTTGTTATTATCTTATTTTACGACACATGCTTTATTTTATAATACGTTATCAGTCGAGTCTCGTCATTTACTTTTATTTGATTTACCATTTCACCAAGATTTCTTAAGCAAGGTGAAAATCCCCTTCAATACTAAAACTTCAATTGGGAATTACTTTCATACATACGAATACATGTTAGCCATAAAACATTGTGGTCACTTCCCTTGTACATTTTGATTTGAAACAATAAGATGTAAAAATGATAATTTCGTCTTTGAATTAAGGACACTATATATCAAAGTGCAGGTATCAGCTCTGCTTGACTGTTTTGTATTGGACTATTACCATACTTCACAACATTAGATGACTGTTTTGTATTGAACTATTAGCATACTTTACAACATTACATGGTTAAATAGCATTTTGTTCACAAAACAAATGCACTGTTTATTAAGCAAATTGACAGTATGAAGAAACTGAACATCAAGAGTAGTTGAATGTTAACAAATTAGGAACTAACATTTAGGAGTTGCTGAATCTATATGCATAATACTGCTCCGTGCTTGTAGACATGCTTTCAGCTAATGCTGTAGTTGGGAGCATTATAGGTATTTATAATGGACCTAAATTTAATGTGTTGCATATTAAACAAACAAAATTAATATTTCAATGAGAAAAATTAGTAATTCGAACATATTTTAGCTGCCAAATTTGTTCATAATATATTCATGTGAATATCATACTGCTGAATGTTGAAGTGAGATACTTACGTAGTTTAACATTTCTATATGTGGGAATACTAATTACATATATTTACATACCGTATAAAATTAGATAAAAACAAATGCATCTATCACGCTTGGATCTTCTGGATCATCATCGATGTATTTTCATCCAACCTTTAAATAACTCTTCATTTTTCTTTTCTCTTCTCACCATAGAAGATATTTCATTATGTGTTAAATATTCAACCACGTGATAAAAAAATAATGGGTAGGTAAATATTGGATCCCCTTATAATAAAATAATAATAATAATAAAATTATATATAAAATAAAAAAAAGAAAGAACAGTCTTGCTAAAAGCCTAAAAATGATAACAGTAGCCTACACCATTGCTAAAAGCCTAAAAATGAAAGCAGGCAGGAGCCTACACCACTCCATTTGTTATTGTGTAAAGCAATATATATTTTCTTTATGACACGTCTTCCTTTTACTGATGTATTCTATCTCATATAATTATTATAACCACTTCCTCTATCTTCCCTTTTTTTAATTTTAAATTTAAATATTAATTCAAAAAGAAAAAAAATTATAAACACTTCTTGTACATATACATCTCTATGTTTCATATTTATTTATTTATTAATTATAATAATTATAATTATAAATTATTATTCATATTGTTTTTCGTTAGAGATTTTGAGATTCAGGCAAAATGAATGGATATATCAGAAATTAAAATTCAATTTAAAATTTTTTTAAGATATATATAAAATAAAAAAAGGAGAAACAATCTTTGCTAAAAGCCTGAAAAATAAAAATAGTAGTCTACACCACTGCTAAAAGCCTAAAAAGCAGGAGCCTACACCACTCCATTTGTAATTGTGTAGAACAATGTATATTTTCTTTAAGACATGTATCCCTTTTACTGTTGTAGTCCATCTCATATAATTATTATAACCACTTCCCCTATTTTTTTTTAAATTTAAATATTAATCTAGAAAGAAAAAAAAATTATAAACATTTCTTGTACATATACATCTCTATGTTTCATATTTATTTATTTATTATAATAATTATACTTAAAATTATTATTCAAATTTCTTTTGTTAGAGATTTTGAGATTCAGACAAAATGAAAGAACATATCAGAAATTAAAATTCAGTTCAAGAAGATCAAGCAAGAAGTTTGTAGATATAAAAAATTTTATGAACAATTTTTCTCTTAAAATGTGTTTCATATCTGCAGATCAATAAACATTTAATTTTATAAAACTCATTGAAGCAAGAAGTTTGTTGATATAAAAATTTTTATCAATAATTTTTATCTTAAGATGGGTTTCATATCTGCAGATCAATAGCCATTTAATTTTACTAAAATCATCTGTATTCATATATAAGAATATATAGCTTATTTTAAATCGCACATTGAATTCAAAGAAGGAACTAACGTGGTAGTCTCTTCGCCACCTCCTTGAGAGCTAGTACTGAAGAAAATGCCTGTTGGTTTGCCTGTCGTTCTCTAGAATACTCTAGTAGAATCAAGAAACGCCTTAAATTAAGCACACATCATTCGTATCTCATCTTTTCTCTTAGAAGGTACATATTATATTTGAAGCTGATGAAACTGGAAAAAATATAAAGCAGAAAAGTAAAAAATCTAGAACTTTAACGATACTTCTACTAAACTAGCTACATTCTCGAGTATTCTATACTCTTGACTTGCATATCTACAGAAATCTATCTTAAAATCGCAAATGGGTTTGAGACCATTTTTTACCAATGAAAGAAAACATACCTGAAGTTTTGAATTGCAAATCGATTAATGGTTGTTGAAAGGAGAGAGTTGGAAGAAATTATGCTTTAGAATCATGTTTGAGTAAGTCTTTGTGCTAGGAATGAATTGAACTTTTTTGTTTGAATAAAGACCGATGTTCTGCAAAGGTGGAAGAGAAATGGACCTATAAAATCTTACTATTGAAATTAAAATTTGTCCTTTTTAAATGTGAAATTACATATTTGCCCTTCTTCTTTTGGAAATGAAATTTGTTCATTTGTTAATGTAAAATGACAAGTATACCCTTGGTCGTCCTCTCACCACTCTTGTATATAGTAGTAATATATATATATATATATATATATATATATATATATATATATATATATATATATATATATGTAAAGAATTTTCTGTCAAGTTAAAATTAGACAATTAAATTGAAACAGATGACTACTTTACTTCAAACTCGATATGAAGTCAAAACTAGATAATAAATTGAAACTAAGAAATACTATTTATAGAAAAAGTAAATTTTCCATATAAGAAATAATAATTTTGCATCTCAAAATAACTTTATATTAAGTATATTAATTACTTTGCCTATTAAGAAAAACTTGAAAAATATTTTTTTTTAAAAGAAGTGTTATTATTAAAAAAAAAAAAAAAAGTATCCATTCCTATTCCTGGGATGAATCACCTTGTATCTACTATCCATTGTGGAGGTGGCAAAGCAAATAGTAGACACACAAAATCGACTGTCCATCACAAATCACAGTTCTTATCATGGAGACAAAGATTCAATCTTATCATTGTTTTTTGGAAACATAACTTACTCTTTTGAAAATAATAAACATAAATATAAGTAAGTGCCATTTAAAATTTAAAAATGGTTTTTCTTTTTCAGATGAAAGAAGAGAACTATTAGAAAATGTTTGGCAAATCAACAGTAAAAATTAAATTGATTGGTTGTATTATTAGTTCAATTTTTTAAAAAGGAAATCAATTATAAAAAAATTAACAATTCTGAAACTCAAAGATCTGGAAGAATAAACTTCATAAGAAAATATATTTATTTACTTTTTAAAGGTAAGGCCTCCATTTGAATTTCGTTTATAGCTATTAATATGCTTGAAACGTCCTTATTTGGGCACCAATCAGCACTACATTTATTTAAATCAATTCCCATTATTTCACCTTTTTCTATTTCCTTTACTCATAAGTTTTTTAAACTTTAAATTACACTAGGTTAACATCCATCTTGGTTGTTACGGATAAGTCAATGGTGAAAGAAATCAGACCAAAAAACTTTTTGGGTTGAGAGTTAAGATTCTAAGTTAAGTCAGTCTCAGACATAATCTGAGCGAGGGGAGGTCTAGGTCCATTTGGGGATATGTGGGGTGAAATTTCTAGGCCTGCTTTATAATACCTAGCAGCGAAGACACTAAGGAACCCATAGGATTATAGAATCGAATTCAGACGGGTAAAACTCTCAGAATCAAATTTGGCGTTGTCGCGACCCAAAGTACATCCTAGAAGATAGGGCATCCTTCAAGTCGCCAGACGGCGTACTCGACCTCTCAGAGGTCTTGCACAAGCCCTTAGACATCATTCATCACATATGTATATATGAAAAGTAATGCGGAATTAAAACTTTTCACAACGATAGAACCATAGCTCAATATCTCTTTCATAAAAAACATAGGGAATACTAAGTTCCTTGTAGACATCGTAGACACACGAATATCTTGGGTCACGGCCCATATTTCAACGAAATAGAAAATATCAAAGTCTAATACAATGTCTTTTGAAAATAAAAGCTAAAACATAGCTATATCCTCGATTCAATTGAGGACATACCAAAACTTGCTTGAAAGGATGCTATTTCCAAGCTTGCTCCCAATAACCTCCTCACTTGCCACCTACACCTTTAAAGATAAGACAATATATCGAATTAGTACATTTGAATGCACTAAGTACGGTGATATGCAATAAAACCATGCAAAGAGGACATTTGCTTTAAAGTATGCTCTCATGCTCTTTTGGAGAAAACCTCATTAAACAAGTATGATAAACCACTTACAAGTCTAACATACACACATATAAGACATATTCCAAGTAATCCACAATATAGCATTAACATCACTTCAAACCATATAAATGTATAACCATCCTACCAAAGGTCATCCTAAGACTTACTTAAGTAAGACAAAAAGAAACCGCACATACACCCTCTTCAAGCACACCTAAATAATCCTTAAGACTACCTAGGATAAGATTATATCCTTTTCATTACTTATACTCTTTACCCAAGGTTACTCTAAGACTCACTTGAGTAAGACATGGAGAGACCGCCCATACACCCTCTCCAAGCCTACCTAAGAAATCCTCAAAGCTACCCTAGATAGGGTTTTTCTTGTTCAACATACATTAGCTTAAGTCATAATCATTCATTAATTCAATTAAGATACAATTAAATATTTAGAGGACTTCACATAATGGTCTTGAAGAAGACCTAGGGAAATGACATCCTAACATCTTCAAAGTCTACTCGTGTCATGTATAGATAGCGTCACGTTCCACTACCTACACGTTATAGAACTTCTCCAATACTAGAATGCATACCACGTGATGAGAATATACATTAAACGACATAGACCGTACTAGCTAGACATGGAATCTGGAGTCTACCTTACTCCGATGGAGGGTGTTCTACTTGCCAAGGGTAGAACTAAGACACATCCCATGTATGCACATTGTTAAGGAATATCAAGGATTTCTTTTTACTCTAGTCTCCTTCTCAAGTAGAGCCACTACCACAAACATATTATTTCGGTGCTAGCCATGTTCTAATAGAGTAAGTTCAATCACAATACCAAGGATGGGTCCACTAGGGCTGCTACTCAATGGTCAACAAGGATAGTTCAATGATTTTCTTAGAGATGGTTTCATCCCTCTCCAGCCAACCTATCCCTAAGTCCATCATTCATACAAGAAGGATAATATTACAGCTTTCAACTTCAAGGATATCATAACATTCTATATTGAAGGTTCCAAGTTATTGACCTTCTTTACATATTCAAGGTCCTATATTAGTCATCCTTATAAAGGAAACATCTTGGGTCTACCTATCCTAGACTTTTATTCAACATTCATTCATACACATACATGACAAAGGTGCTTAATTCTACTAAGTCAAGATGTTCATATTCATATTCTTTATGTATCAAGTAAAGGGACATAGGTCTACCAATCAAAACATACATTATCATCTTATCACATGTACAACAACATTCAAGTAGCACCTAGGGACAACTAAGTCTACTACAAGTCACCCTATTCATTCCTATAGAAACATCAACATAGTCCATCATAAGACTCATATAGTCAATTAGAAAGAATCATACTTCAACATCAAGTATACACATATAAAGAAATCATCATAGTCTACTATAGCTACATAGAATAACTCATGCTTTCACTTTACATATACACCTGTACCACATAATCCTTCACATTGATCACCAATACAAGCTACAACGTAATAACATCACAATTTTCATAATAATGCCGACAATGTCATATTCATCACAATTATAACACATAAACACCGCCACCATAAGTGGACCATACCAATCATCACAATTGAATAACAATTCTATACTAAATAGAAAGATTAGGTCATCTTACCACCATTCCATCACCAACGCCACCAATCTTTAACCTTCTAAATCAAATACTTCACAAAGGCTCTTACCACTAGCCATACACATCATTCTAAATCAATAATCAAATCATACAATGATACAACAAGATAAAATATGAAAATAATCAAATTAAGGCAGCCTATATAGAATCCTATCATGATCTTTAGACAATTCAATAGTCTAATGGAATCTACACAAGAATTCATTAACATTAAGTCATGATTAAATCACTCATATTATAGCCAAAATTTCATGAATTGCATGGGTTCATAAATTTTTTTATCTAAAATCATTCAATTAACATCAATTGTAACATAAATCATTGATTCAAACCATTTTATGCAAGAACACATGGCTAGAAGTCAAAATAGAAGTTCATGCTTTTAGAAAGTCTTAGAAAAAGCCTTTGAAGTTTGGCTCCTTGAAGAAGGAAGATTCAAGGATGAAACACAGAAGGAAGATTCAAGGATGAAACACCATACCTCAATGAAGATTATCCACGAAATAGATGAAGATTCAATGGAGAAATTAAGCACCTAGCCTCAACCTTGCTTCATGTTTCAATGTAGTTCTAGAGAATTCTATTTGGGGTCGTGGGTTTTGATTTTGAAATAATGAACTCAACTATAGGTTCTAGACTTATAAAGTGACTTAAAATATCCAAAAACACCTTAAGTAACACCCCAATATATTATTTAGATGCTAGGTGAATTTATCAAAAAGCCCCCCACTCAGCTGAGACACCTGCAGAAAATTGCAGGTGTCAAACGACGAAGGCTACCTACGATCCGTCGACCAGACGATGAGCCGTACTAGCAAGTCTTCGTTCTCGTCAGAGATTGCATTTTGGGGGCTTAATCTCCCACCACTAAGTTTGGAGCAACGACCCCCATTGACGGATCATGCCTTGGACGACGGGGCGTCATTTGGCACTCGTTGGTTGGGGGCTGTATTGGCAGAACTCAAGCCCAAGTTTGGGTCCTCCTCAAGGATCCTTGGGGTGGTCCTTGGGGAGTCACGCCCGAAAGTTTCAACTCGAAATACCCTCATCTATATGTTAGGAACCTTTCATATCAATTTGAACACCAAACACCATTTAAAACATGCAAAGGCATACTAGAACACACAAGTACGTCTCAAGGATAACTTTCGAACGTCTTGGATATTTGGCCACCAAACTTAACACACTGCCTCTTAACACTATAAATCACCATTTTAAGACCTTATGTCATGATCTAGTTTAACCGAGTTCATTTTTAGGGTGTTACATGAATGAGATAGTTTGGGACGTCAAGGGTCGAAGGTATGTTGCAAAAAATAGATTTTTCAGGAGTTTTTGAGTCTTTGAAAATCTTGCAATCCATTATAGCGGGTGACAAGCCGCTATAAAGGGCATGTGCAGGCACTATTACGGAAATGACAACTAATATAGTCGGTTGGGTTGCCCTAGCGGGATAAG